TGAAAGAGTTTCATACTTCCAAAGCATGTACAAACATAATGTCCATTAGTAGTTCTACTTTCGCAATTGCACTTTATTGATGATTATACTCAAATAATTTTGTTTCCTTATGCAAGAACTCAAATTCATCCTTCAATTAGTTAAAAGATTAATATATTTCAAAAGCACATGGCAATGGATTTATTGTGTTCAGTAACAAATTGATTAATAAGAAATAAATCAAGTAATAAGAAACAAGTACCTCAAGATCATTGAAGAATTTTTGAAGTAACACTCTGAGCAATAGTTCCAAGACAGTCAATGAGCTCCTCTTTGGTCATTCCAATACTAGTATGTTTTTATGAACAAATAAATCCATTTTAAGGAGGCACTTTTGTTATCCATAAAGTAAGAAATAGAAAATATGCTAGGAAAAAAAAAGGGTCAGCAATAACAAAAGAAATCACCATACATTATAGCGATTGTCATATTATCTATGATGAATGTTTGATGTAAATCTCTGGTTTCCCAACATCCCCACATTCAGAGTTTACTATTTTATTGAGTTAAACTTTGCTGTATATGAATCTTTAATGCTGTATTTGATTGGAGGATTTGGAGAGGGATTTGAAAAAAGAAAGGGAAAATGTGTGTGAAACTAGGTGAAATGTATTTATATTTTATTTACATTTCACCTAATTTTTCCCTTTCCCTTTCCAATTCTTTTCACAAATCCCTCAACCAAACACGGCGTAAAAGATTGGTTGATTAAATCTAAACCATTTGAACTAGTTGAAAACACAGAGTTGAGTGTCACAACAAAGATAAATGTAGATGGTACATTGCACACTCCCTTTCCTAGATTTAAAAGACTTAACTACCTTGCACACACTCTCACATTGACACTACAACATCAATTAAGGATATTCTCTAATGATAGGACAACGTTTTTTCTTTTAAGGACTTAAACCCCGTGTACATTATCCATTGTATATGTTTTAAGAATATAAAATATTTTGTATGTTGTATCACTTTTGGGAGCATTGTATATGTCGTGTAAATTAAAGAAAAAAAAAACTTGAATTTTGATTAAACATTGCATATGATTTGGAAAAATATAAATTGTATATCCAGCATTGAGGCATTGTTTACCTTATTGTTGAGAATGGATGACCGGTGAATGGGTCATGGTGATGGAATTGAATGGTTATCGTTGTCATAATCAGTTTTAATTGTATTTTAAAACTTGATTTGAAATTTTGGAGACGAAATTCTTTAAAGAGGGGAGGCTATAGCGTTCCTAGTTTTGACCCAACACTTGTGGTAGTCAGAACTTGGGTTTATAGTTTCTGAATGTTGTTCATTATCGTTTTCCCCTTAATCCTCTTTAAATTTGGTTATTGGATTGTTGTTGTGCATTTCAAACAGGTTGCTTGCTTGTTTTTCCAAACCTTTGTTGTCTAGATTTTTATTCTTCTGCTTGAGCGAGCTTTGCAATTTTGCTCCTCCGCTCGAACGGCACTTCTCGTGCTCAAACGGCACTTCTCGCACTCGAGCGGGCTTTGTAAACTCTCAGTACTTTGCAGGTCTGCAAAATTACTGAGAGAGTGTTTTCTACGCTCGAGTGGCATTTCCTACGCTCGAGCATTAGTCTGTTGTTTGCAAAACTACTGGATGTGTGTTTTCTACGCTCAAACGGCCTTTCTTTCGCTCGAGCAGTGAGCGTCTTGTTCATTGTGTCTTGGAGATCGAGCAGCCTTTCTTGCGCTCGAGCGGAACAATTTTTTTGTGTCTGACGCTCGAGCGTCAACTCTTGTGCTTGAGCGGACTGTACGTATATCAAATCGTGAAAATAACTTTTTATCTCACCTTTTCATATCTTTTTTTCCAAAAACCCTAAAGTGAGACACTCTCTCTCTCTACATTTTCTCCTAGATCTGTTAATCTCTTCACCTAGTGTCTTTGGAAAAAGGGTAGAGGGTAGAGCATCTCGAGAGTTCCATTTTGATCCGATTGGAGTTTGGTTTCCGCGTCGTTAATTTTCGTCCTTTCTCCATTGATCTTCTAAACTTGAGGTAAGGACTCTCTATACCTTAATATGAGTTTTAAATTGGTTATAGGTTGTTGTGTGAAAATGGTGAGATTTGGAGATGTTTTGAGCAAACCTAGGGTTTGGGTTTAAGTTTGAAAAGAGGGGTTTCTATGTAAGTGTTATGTAAATGATTACAGGGTTTGGATATGAAGTCATCTTGTGTTAAAATAGTTTGGGTTAATATTTGGAAAATGAGGAGCTTTATCCTAAAATGTCTTAAATAATTATTTTGTATAAATAATGAAATTTGTATGAAAAATATGAAACTGGGAGAATGTATACATGAATGATGTTGTTGGATTTGTTTAATCTCTCACCTGTGGAAATTTGATGATTTATCTGTTATAGAGATTGTATATCTGTTTAGAAATATCTGTTTTGGACTATCGGTGGAGGATAGTCATGATTGTTGTAGACATCGCATGTGGATTAGGCGAATTGAAACTAATCCCCTAACCATTATCATTGAATATGATTATAAATGATATACATTGTATATGTATGATATTTTGGAGAAGAAAGGAGATGTACTCCATGTTTTGAGGAGAAGAAAATGGATGGACTCCATTGAACTAAGTTGGCCTGTGTGTTCAGGGTGAAAGTCCCGAAAACCATTTGTATACATGGGTGTCAATTTCCGCAGACAAAATTTCATAAAATGGCAACTAAAAGTGAATGTATTTGTATAATGATTTTATGTGTTGGAAACTTGTGAGGTGTAACCTCTGTTGATGGGTTAAATGCAGTGGAGGTGTCTATTGAACCAAAATGAATGAATTGAGATGCGAGTTTGGCATAACATGGTTTTGGAAAGAATTATAAAGATTTTGTCGTAGGACAATGAACACGTGCATCATACTTATATCTTGTTAATTCTTATATATTGTGTTAGTATGTTTCTAGTAGGCTTTGGCTCACCCTACTTGGGAACCATTTTCAGGTGTTGGAGACACTACAAGAAAAAACACCTTTAGTGACCACCTATTTTTAGTTGGTCACAAAAAGTATAGTAATCTGCCACCAAAATTTATTTTGGTCACGGATGATGGTGTTTTAGTGACCAACATTTTTTTGGTGGCTAATAGTTAAGTATTTGTGACCAAATAGAAAATGTGGTCGCCAAAAGTGATGGCGGGAGCGCGAAAAAAAAAGGCGGGACATCAAATCTTTTGGCTACCAGAGATGTTGGTCGCGAAAAGAAAAAAAACTACGTCGTTTGAAAAAAAAATAAATAAAAAATGTTTCCTGACCCTTGATCTTCCCTCATTGTTGCCCTCTTCCTTAATAAAAAAAAAGTTTCTTCCTTAATAAAAAAAAGTTTCCTATTTCCTTGAGCTTCCGATCGGTTCATCAAACCCTACCCACCATCTCCTCACTTCGTCCCTTGGGTTTGCCGCTCTTCATCTTCGCCTCCGCCTTGTACTTACCAGGTTAGTGTCTCTCTCTCTCAATCTCTCTCTCTCTGTTCGTGTATATATATATATATATATAATCGATTTCACGTTGAAGATGAATTGTATGATATGTTAGATGACTGTCACATGGCGCATATTTTTGATGATGATGAAGAGGGTGAGCAGAATGATAATGAGCAAAGAGAAGATGGACGAAACTTTGATAAATTGTTAGAGGATGCTCGTCGTCCATTATACCTTGGCTGTCAGAAGTTTACTTTGTTATCATTTGTCGTTAAGATGCTTCATATAAAAGTTTTAAACAAGTGGAGCAATAAGTCTTTTGACATGTTGTTAGGCGTATTGAAAGACCTTTTACCAGAAAGTGATCAAAAGGTTCCATGGACCCTTTATGAAGCGAAGAAATTTTTACGTGATTTGGGTTTAGGATATGTGCCTATTCATGCATGTAAGTATGATTGTGCTCTTTTTTGGAAGGAAAATGCAAATTTAGAAAATTGTTCGATTTGTAAGGAGCCTAGATACAAAATGAATGATGGCAAAGGTAAGAAGATACCTCATAAAATTTTGAGATATTTTCCGTTGACACCAAGGTTGCAAAGATTATACATGTCGAGAAAAACAGCTGGAGATATGCGATGGCATAAAGAAAAACGTGTTGATGATGGCATCTTAAGGCATCCAGCCGATGGTGAGGCGTGGAAGGATTTTGATAGGCAACATGTTGTGTTTGCCCAAGAACCACGTAATGTGAGGTTAGGGTTGGCCACCGATGGTTTCAACCCTTTTGGAAATTTGAGCAACTCATATAGTATGTGGCCTGTGGTAGTTATGCCTTATAACCTACCACCGTGGAAGTGTATGAAGCAACCATTTTCCATGATGTCATTGCTTATTCCTGGACCGCAAGCACCCGGGAGAGATATTGATGTTTACTTTAGGCCATTAATTGACGAGTTGAAGGAGTTATGGGAAGATGGTGTAGTTACTTATGATGCCTCAACTGGGGCAAGTTTCCGAATGCATGCAACTGTTATGTGGACTATTAATGACTTCCCTGCATATGGTAACTTGTCAGGGTGGAGTACAAAAGGATATTTGGCTTGTCCCAATTGTAATGAGAATGCATCATCACAACGGTTAAGAAGTAAGATAGGATACACTGGTGCTCGCCGATACTTACCTGAAGACCATCCTTGGCGAAGAAGTAAGCTGTTTAATGGTAAGGCAGATGATCGAGCAAGACCTTCGGAGTTGTCAGGGGAACAAATTTTAAATCAATTGGATTCAGGAACATTTAAACCATTTGGGAAGCATCCAAGCAACCAAAAAAGAAAAAGGGATGAAAATACCGTCCTGAATTGGACAAAGAAAAGCATATTTTTCGAATTGCCTTACTGGAAGACACTCAAGTTACGACATAACCTCGATGTTATGCACATAGAGAAGAACATATGTGATAATTTAATTGGGACTTTGTTGAGCATTGATGGGAAGAACAAGGATACGGAAAAAGCACGCATGGATTTAGAGGATATGAAAATTAGGAAGGATTTGCACTTAAAGAGGCGCGCGGATGGGTCCTTTGAAAAGCCCATTGCATTGTTCACATTGTCCCTAAAGGAAAGACAAGGTTTTTGTGAGTTCTTAAAATCGATTAGGTATCCTGATGGGTATGCAGCAAACATCTCTATGTGTGTGAGCACAAAGGGCGGCAAGTTATCCGGTTTGAAAAGCCATGATTGCCATGTCCTTATACAACGACTTCTTCCTATTGGAATGCGTGGGTATCTTAACAAGGACATTTCTATTGCATTGTTTGAGTTGGGAAATTACTTTCAACAGTTATGTTCAAAAACAGTGAGGGTGAATGATTTGGAAAAATTACAAGAGAGCATAGTACTCATACTTTGCAAGCTAGAAAAAATTTTTCCACCTGCATTCTTTGATGTGATGGTTCACTTAGCTATTCACTTGCCTCGCGAAGCCATTCTTGGAGGGCCAGTGCAATATCGATGGATGTACCCTATCGAAAGGTATTTTTATGCTCTTTGATGTGAAATTATATTTTTTTTAATATTATAGTATACCCATATATATGGTTTATATAATAATTTCCTATTATTTGTTGAAGATTACTCGGGATTTTGAAAGGGTATGTAGCAAATCGAGCTCACCCAGAAGGTTCAATTGCAGAAGCTTACATTGTCAAAGAATGCCTAACTTTTTGCTCTATGTATCTTGGTGGGATTGAAACCGTATTTAACAGAGAGGAAAGAAATGAAGATGGTGGTGATGTTGGCTCAGGGCATTCAGTTTTTTCACAAAAAGTCCGTACTTTTGGGCTCACTCAAAGGGCAGTTGACGTGTCTGAGAATGAAAGAAAAGTGGCTCATTGGTTTATCTTGTATAATAGTCCTGAAATTGATGAATATCTAGAGTATGTTCTCATTTAGTTAAGTCTATGCAAAATGCTTTTCATTATGATCACACTCAAGTACTAATTATTCACATTTGATTTTTCAAGTAGAGAACACAAGAATCAGTTACAAAATGCAAATGTACATGACATTACAAGACAACAACAAGAAGAATTTCCTAGGTGGTTCAAAGAGCGGGTAATATATAAGATACATAGATAATATGTAACCTCTCATCATAAACATAATTCACTGTTCGTAGATTGATATTAACATCATGCATCCTTGTCACATGTTCATGTAGATAAATCAATTACGAGCTGAAGGATCATCGGAAGCAACTGATGAGTTGTGGTCATTAGCTAATGGTCCTAGTCCAATAGTGAATATTTATTCAGGTTGTATTTGTAATGGCATTCGATTCCACACGAAAGAGCGAGACAACCGTCGTAAAAGTCAAAATAGTGGGTTGGTTGTTCAAGGGGATCATCATGGTATGTCAATTGATTTCTATGGTCAGTTGACTAAAGTTTGGGAAATGACATACATGTTCGGGCATCGAGTTGTGTTGTTTCAATGCGAATGGTTTAACACTGGTAGCAACAGAACATTTCGCACTGAAACACATTTGACAACCATTGATGTAAGAAGCCGTTGGTATCAAAATGACCCATTTGTCTTGCCAAGTAAGGTGGAACAAGTTTTTTATGTCAATGATACCAAGTTAGGTGAACATTGGAAAGTCGTAGAGCGATTTCAACGTCGAGGAATATGGAATGTGCCGGAGCTTGAGGATGTAGATCTCGATGATAATGAATTGCCTATTCCGAATGATGTGTTCCAGCAGGACGAGACCACTGAAATTGTCCAAATCAGCATTGCAGATTCCATTAGCAACACTTTACGTAGGACTGATATTGCACCTGATATTATTCCAAGTCAAGTGGTTCTGCAATCTAGTACAAGTGTACATGTAGAGGGTCCAAACAGAGATGATTTTATCTGTGATGATAATGATCAACATTCAAATGATCCTAGTGATGATGAAGATGAATTTCATAGTCATAGTAACTCGGATACAGATGATGATATAGAGCCTTGATTGTAATATCCTTTATTTTTTGCATTATCAAGTCATTTTCTTTGTAATGCTCTTGATTGTAATGGCATGCACTTGTTAATGAAGACATGTTTAGTTACAACAAGTTTGGAATGTTGTACCTATTGCTTCATTGTGGTCCATTTGGAAACATCGGAATCTGTCTGAATCTATTTGAAGCTGTGTTTGTTCTACTGTCTCCTCTGTGTGCTGCTGCTGAAGTGCTCTATGTTTTTTTTTCTCTTCTGTTTGGTGATGCTGCTGAATCTATCTGAATCTGTGTATTAATCTGAATCTGCTGAATCTGTTTTGAATCTGCTGGTGTAATGCTGAAATGCGGCTGCTGCTTGAATCTGTTTTTTATGCTTCCTGCTGGTTTCTCCTCTGTTTTCCTGTTGGTTTCTCACCAACGGTTATATTACTAGCGGATGTTTGGGCTAGCTCATTGGCACCAAGTTTGTTTGGTTTTAATAGCTATGCTCCTCATGTATTTGTGTTCATTATATATAATCTTATTTTGTTTGTTGATAAAAAAAAATTGAAGACATGTTTAGTGATGATTCAAATTGTAATGAATTTTTTTGTTGATAATTTCTTGACTTGTAATGTGGTTCTAATATTACACTATTAGGTTATCTTATAATTTCATAAATTGTCATGCATTTTAAATTTTTACTTTTGGTTGCTTACAATTCATTTGTTAGATACAAAGACTACACAGATGCCACCTGGGCAAGCCACTAAGAGGAGGTCGACGACCTCAATGTCAGAGGCAAACCTGGTTGAGCTCCCAGCTGCATCTCCTGTGGATGCATTTGCAAGTCTATCTCTTGTGGATGCATCTCCATCTTCGCAAACAATTGATATTGGTAAGTGTTTCATCCTTTGTATAGAACAATTTGTTTTTTGCTCCTGAAACTGTAATCAATGTTGAGCAGTTACTACATGCTTACTCTTTTTTGAGTGATTATGATTAAAAATTTGTTAGTATTGAAGTATGACTCTGTGAGAGACAATCTGTGAGAGACAATGAAAAAAGAGATCTTTGAAGTCACAAACGGCACCTAAAAGATAAAGTGAGAGACAATTAGTCAATAAAGAGTGCAAGGCATTTATTGTTTAGTAATCCAGACAGTGTATCTTCAACTGGTTGTCAGCTGGTGCTGTCCTTTTTGTAAATTAACGAAACTCATTTCAACTATGTGTCATATAATGTATATAGGTTGCTGCTACTGCTGCTATATCATGCACGTGTTGCTAACAGACTGTATTGTTATCATTAGGCAAAATGCAAAAATAAAAAACTGACTACTTACAGATGTATACGTACACATGTAATGACCAACAGGAGTATTAAGATAAGTACAGTTACCTGACCATCAAAGTAAGCAACCAGTATTGTTGATGATCCTGGAGATTGTGCTTCAAGAGCACTTTGATTAAGAACTTCCACAGGATTACTTAAGGGAATACTATTGCACTGTGAGACAATCTTTCGACAATTCTCCATCAGTTCTTGGGCATAAACTCCTGGGTTAATCCCTGAAAAATGAATGAAAAATGACTAACTCATCTAAAATCTTAACCTAACTAAACACAGGAATAAATAAAATATTTATGTTTTCAACATGCTCCCATATATTTGGCCAATCTCTCCACCACTAGTGGACCAAACACATGCATGCATTTTAGTAGTATTATATGAATATTATAAAGAAAATTTTATAATAAAACGATGCTAAGGGGGTGCCACTTGTATATAGAAGAGAAAGTATTACAATTATATCGGGTAGGTGGTGATGTTCGAACACAGATAACTATTGCCTACAATGATACTATGTTTGATAATTAATGACCTAAAACTTGTGCTGCTAAGAGATGTGAAACTTAAATATTTATATTCTCAACATGTAGAACAAACCAACTATGCCTGCACAAAACCTAGATATGTCAAGATTGTATTTTTGGAAGAGAAAAATTAGGAAGAAAATAAAGAAAAACAAAGATGAAGATACAGGTCTGTATCAAACAACTGCAGATTATTGCCTATTGGGATATCTAAAAGTTGACTTAGGAACAGTTGTTGATTGAATAGGTGTACGTGTGCATCTATTAAGATATTAAACAACAAAATAAAGATTGCACACTATAGGTAAAACCATCCACACACACAAAGAAATGGGAAAATATAAGTTGACATGGACACCTAGGAATAGAAAGTGTAGATTGGTATGCACACTGCACAAAATTATATGAAAAAAAGGGTTACCTTCTAGTGACCACTGACCAACTCCATCAGCCACACCTAACCACTGGGTAGCAACAAAGTAAGCGTCCTCCCCACCTGTCAATGCCTGACATTAATTATTGCTGAATTATTTACCTATGATAATTTTATACCAGGAGAAGCAAGCTTGAATAAAGGCATATACATTCCATGATGCTTTAAACTTGAGAGTTCTTAAAATCTACAGCAACCTATATAGCAGCAGCAGCAGCAACCTATGTACATTATATGACACATAGTAATCTTCATTCACATATGCTATTTAAAGAGAGTTCTTAAAATCTGCTCTGTATATACAGCAACAGAAGTTTATTTAGCAGCAGCCTATAATAGTGTTTCATTTTGTGTTTATAATATAGGTCCATCTGCAAAGCGAGTACGAGGTCCAACTAGGGGTAAGAACAGTAGTCGACTCATCAGCCAACATGGTGGGAAGAAGCTTTTTGTTGGAGTTTCTATTGAGAGGAGGACATTTGTGGGGCGTAATGCCACCAAGGCCGCTAACGAATTGGGGGCACAAATTCGATTGCAAGCCCCATTGCAAGGAACAAAAAATTGGGAGGACGTTCCACCAGTCATTCGAGCAGCTATTGTACAATCCTTGCGGATAATTTAATTTTTATAGTTGTTGAGATTGAAGTAATTAATATATAAGATGTTTAATTTTCATTTTATGTTTAATTGGGACAGAATAAGTTTGAGATTGAAGGATATGATGAGAGTCCACTTCCACAAGAAATCATTGACACAAAGGCCACACATTTGTTTAAAGGCTGGCGATATCATATGCATGAACATTACAAAGAGTTGGTGAAAGAAGGTACAGATCCTTATAGTAAACCATTTGTTGGGGTGAGCGAAAAAGATTGGAGATACATGATTGATGAAGTGTTTCTTGGTGACACACACAAGGTAATTAACTTAACAGTCATGGATGTTTCTTTTAATTGCACTACAATGAATAACTCAAAGGTCCCAAGTTTCTTTGAAATTCAAATAATATACAATTATATATGAGACAAAGTAAGGAAATTGCAGAGATGGAGGGAAAGCTATAGGAACCATGCTTGGATATTGATTTTTAAGTTAATATTTCTATTGCATTGTAGGAACGGTCAACGAGAAATATAGCCAACAGGAAAAAGTTACCCTATAATCACACCATGGGTTCAAGGTCATTTTCAGCAGCAATCTCAATTGAGGTAACATATTTTTTGTTTTAAAACTTTTAGTTAATGCTGCAATTTTTTTATTAACAATATTACTAAGCTTGCATTTTATATGTTTCATGTAGGGAATTGAAACTGGGAAGGAGCCTCACATTGTAGATTTTTTCAAGACCTCACATTGGAGTAAGAAAAAAAAAGATTGGATTGAACTAGTTTGTGCGGAGTTATATGTAAGTATACCTTCATTATATTTGTTATTCATAGTCCTATATAATGCTTAACTAGTTAGTGTACTTGTAAAATAGGATAACTGTTGATCCTTTTTCTTTTCTTTTTTTCTTTTCTTTTCTTTTTTTAACACAAACAGGAAAAGATGGACCAACTTCGTGAGGAATCTTCACAGCCTGGAGCAACCCCGCTAACACAGGAGGAAATTACTGTTCAAGTCCTTGGGAAGCGTTCAGGGTATTTGAGAGGTTTCGGGGTTGGTCCAAAGCCGTCTTCTGCATTCAATTCTACAACTAGGTCACAAGCACGTGATGAAGAGGTTAAGGGCCTTAAAGAAGAGGTAGCATCACTGAAAGGGATAATTCAATCATATGAAGGACGCTTTGAGCAGTTTGAACACCTTATGAGACAAATGCAGGGCAATGGTAGTGGATACGACTCTTTTGATGAGTAAGTACTATTGCTTTTGATGGTTTGTGAATACTTCTGGGATTTGCTTTAATTTATCAGCTCATAGATCTTATTTTGACAGTTGATCTATGACTGTCGTGTTGGCATCCATTCATATGATGGTCTAATATTGATTTGATTGGTTTCATAGGTTAATTTCATTCGGATTCAGGTACATAGTTGGATGGTTGGGGGACATAGGTTGAGGTGCCTTATTTTCAGTACATGACTTGGTATTAAATTATTGGATTTAGGTACATAGTTACATTTCTATGACTGTCTTGTTAACAGAATATTCTATTTACAATCTATACATGGATAATAATTCTATTTACATAGTTAGGGATTGAACTAGTGATGGAGGAGATAATACACGAACTGTAAGGATGGTAATAATGTGGTGGTGTTGTGGTTTTTTTTTTATTTATTTATTTAGAAATGTAAACAAATATATTATTATTAACAACGCTTTCTTCAATTTTTTTTTTTTTTTTTATTGCAGGTAGCTAGCTAGAGGCGTAGTCATGCATGTTTATGGATCTGAGTTTGCCGATGCATTAATTCTAAGTTGTGCATATATATATGTGGAGTTTTTGAGATACTTCGCATCGGACAAATATGACATGCATTTGAAATCTTTGATGTTTTGTTAAATATTTTTTGATGTGGTGAATTTATTGTAAGGATGGATGGTTATTTTGGACGTGTAATGTGTTGATATTGACAGGTGGTTGTAAATATATTAATTATTATTTTGACTTTATAATTGATGGTTTTTTTTTTTTTTTAGATTGGATTGGTATATTAAAATTGATTGGATGGACATGAATTATGTATTAATTGCAAATGTATTATAGGTATTACAAAAAATTTAGCATTATATAAAAGAATCAATTTTGAAATTAAAAGTTTTTTTGCGACCAATATGTTTTTAGTCGCAAAAAGGTTCTAGGAATTGCTAATACACCCTTTCTGTGACCAACAAAAATCTGGTCGCCAAAAGTCCACTTTTCGCGACCAAAAACTTCGTCGCCAATGCTCACTTTCTGCGACTAGAATTATTCTGGTCGCCAAAAGTCCATTTTTCGCGACCAAGAACTTGGTCGCCAATGCTCACTTTCTGCAACTAGAATTATTCTGGTCGCCAAAAGTCCATTTTTCGCGACCAAGAACTTCGTCGCCAATGCTCACTTTCTGCGGCTAGAATTATTCTGGTAGCTAAAAGTCTACTTTCTGCGACCAAATTCTTAGTCGCAATAGGATCAATTTTGACAAATTCAAGTCCCCTTCGGCGACCAAAGAATGTTGTCGCAAATGATGATTTTCCGCGACCAACTTCACTTTTGGTCTCCAAAAACCTTCTGTGACGGACTTTTGGCGACCAAATTGCGACCAACTTTTTTTGGTCGCTAAAAACTATTAGCGACCAGATTTGACCTTTTTGCGACCAGAAATGTTGGTCACGAAAAGTGTTTTTTCCTGTAGTGAGACATGCTTTCACCGAAACAGTAGTTTGAGGAGACTTGGAGCAAGAGCTTCCTTTTATTTTATTTATTTTGTATAGCAAAGGGCTAAGTTGTATTGAGTTAGACTCTTCCTTTTGTTGTAACCAAGCAATATCTTGGAAAGATGTAAGCCTGTAAGGTATTTATTTTGTTGATTACTAACTGGTATTACATGTTATAAATTCATGATGAACATTTATGAATGTATATTGCATGTGTTATCTTTTGTAACGCAAACTCTGATGAATGAAAGTATATCAATTCTATCATACTCACTTCTCTTATGAGTTGGATTAGTTGCATTTATTTTGGGGGCGTTACGTCCCAAATTATGGAATGTTTTTTCTTATGCACCATTTGATCCTATTTTGTTGGTAAGGAATATTTTAAATTGGTAGGGTGTGGATGGAGTTTACTTTTTTACCCATTGTGGCAGATTTTGGGAGATTCTGTTAAATGATGTTTGGGTATCAATGTGGAAGATAAGTTTTGACATTTCCATTTCACTCGCTCAATCGTATCAACTACTCTCTCAACAAAACCTACAAAAACATATATATAAATATTAAGTTCAACACTTACAATTTGGTTTCCTAACTAGAAGATGCTATTTTCTGCTAAAATCAACAATGGTAATTTTGCTTAGACATTCAACTCCTTATTTTACTAAGAACCATCATATTAGCTACAGCACTCGGCCCCAACAACAATTCTGAACACCATACAGGTACAACCAAGTCAAATTTCTAAATCCATATGCCAAGACTCATTAGCAAAAAATTAACAATTTAAGTTCCAATAAAGTTTGGACCTCTAGAAAAAGAAAAAGAAAAAAAAAACAGATATCAAAAAAAATAATACATGAGTATATCTCAACCTCAAATCCTAAATTCATATATGGACCCAAAAAAAAGATTACATAAATTAATCATGGCAAGATTACATAAATCAAAGAAATGCAAGAATTTTTTTTAGAAAGGGGAAAAAAAAGTTTCAGAGGACTCAGAATCAATCTGCTACCATGTGATATACTCGACAAAAATTGGTAGATGACAAGAGGATCTATTTTGAATGTAAATATCACCCAATTCTCTTTTAGAAAGCGGATTGAAAGCATATATATTTTGCAAACATTGTTTTATGGAGCATGGGTCAGACATCTCCACTAAGAAAATAGCATCTTGAATTTAATGTACAAAGACACTAATTGTGCAGATATTTGTCATGTAATTTTTTGATAAGTGTATTCGTCATCCATCCATGGGACAAAACAAATCTAACACCCATCCATCAAAATGTTAACTTCCCTGTCAATCCCCATAGGTTTTCCATCTCCACCTAAGTCATTCTCCACAAAGCTAGTAAAAATAACAAGTGCTATATCTAAACATCGTTGTAAAGAAAGATACTAGTGAAAGTACAAAAAGCCAAAGGTGAAAATGGGAAAGAATGAGCAACTGAAAGTTGAGTCAGTAATACAGCAAACTCAGAGCAAGCTAAACAAATGAGGATATTTTAGGACATGAAAGGTTACCACAGTTGCCTATCATAGTGCCAACTGCATCCTGATGACATCAGTGGCACAAACACTGTCGTTCTGAACTGGTTAATCCGCAGGAGAAATCCTCTTCCCTCTCAAGGGCATTCCTTCACTGTGAAACATGTTGCATTCTTTCAAATCAGCTGATGGTATGGTGCTGGGTTTACCTGAACATCTAAAATGATGCATCCTTGGACTTTCTATGACCACATGAGAACCAGCTGCACCATACAGTAAAGGCTAGTTCCTCTCAAAATTGATCTTCTTCCTAGAGCCATCACGTAGAAATGTGAACTGGAAAGAAATTACGAACATAAAAAAATAAAATAGGTGATAAAGGTGTCATGGTTAAGAATGAAACACAACTAGGAAAAAACCTATGTGACAATGGAAGGAAACAATATGCCACATATTAAATGAAGTCATTTAAGTGCCTAACCTGGTCAGAAGAATAACCAGCATTGACAGGCAGTTGCTTGGATGGATTAGAATCAATTGTGTTCTATTCTGAACGCTAGGATGGCATACCCAGGGAATGGTGTAACTGCTTAATGAATGATGCTTCCAAAGCATCAAGATATGAATTATGCTTCTCATCCGTCCATGTCGTGTGTTGTCCCAGCATGAATTAACCAGTATAAGAAATTTAGAATTTTCAGGAAAATAAAGAAAGAAGATGTGATGAACAACTTATGTAGCATAAACAAATAAGTGTTCAGAATTTGTCAAACAAATTTATAAATAAATTTTTTTCGAACAATCATAAAACTTACTATTCTCTTGATAATAAATTTTTAACAAGGAACTTGCCGTTTAGTTTTACCATCTTTCCCAATAATTTGTTTAATTATTTCAATCTAGCTGTGAGGGTGTTTATAGCTCAAAGGCATGCTTTATCCAAGGTCCGTGATATGACCTCCAGAGGAAATTACCTGTTAAGCTAGTACACAAAACATGGAGAGGACCTACAGGAAATTTGATAAGACGGTAAAATTAAAGCTCATTATTTGAAATATAGTAATTTCATAAATAGCTATGAAGAGATCTCCATTGTGGAATTGAACAAGAACCTGCATACCCACCTACAGTGATGTCCATATACTTCCAAGGGAAGGAGAAGGGGAAGGGCCGAAACAGGGATAGACATTCTCCACTACAGAACCGCAGCATTGCCAATTGAAGGAAAAGCAAACCTCTGACACATTATATGTAACATGGAAACACAGAGAGGTATATATATAAAGAGACAAACACATGTTAATATTAATCTTAGAAATGGAGACAAATTTTGTAAGCATGAAAATTTATAAGACTTGCGACACAGAGAGACTTTATTTGGTTCTATAACATCTAAGTATTAAGCACCAGGTCCATTGATCTCATCCTAGCTCTTTTTAGTTCCTGAGATGTTCAAAATCCAACAAGCCACCTTAGTATACAGCAATAGAAGGGTAAGATAAAATGTTGGACTAAATGTACAAACCTTGAACTCTTTTTTACACCATGAGTTTTGGCCCCACTCATCTGCCACCTTCAAAAGAATGACAACATATGGTGTGTGTTTATGGACAACAAAATCAGGCACTTTCAAGTCAATTGTTTCAGCAAAGCTATCGTTGGTAAACATGCAATCAGCTTTTCACTTAAGATATAAGCTGTTAAAAAAGAAAGAAAGCAAAGCAGCTAATTAATATGAATGTTATCATAGTAATAATACTCAAACCAAGTAAACTTTGTATAAGTCTCTCCATACAACATTGGTTCAACCTTCCAATACAAATGCATTAGAAACCTGAAAAATCAAACAAGTACCTTTTAGTAAAAGTTCTAACTAGGGTAAGGTACTATTGCCCCCTTTTCTTCATGAATATATATATATATATGTGTGTGTGTGTGTGTGTATTGCCCGTTTTCTTCATGAATAGGGGGGGGGGAAGGGGTTGAAAAGTTTAATACTATTTTTAATGATTCATTTCCTTGTATTGAGAATAGGGTCTGAATTTTGTATGCTGGTTCAATTTCCATTTCGGTTGCAATTTCTATCTAAGAAAAATTACTAAACAGATTTTGACAAAAACAAAGGGGTCTTGAACTATATACCAAGAGAAAGGAGTATCTGAAAACTCTAAGCTTTCTACTTTGCTCTGTTTTAAACTTGATTCAAGCTTTCTCTGCTTCAATTTAACAAACCTGAACTGAAAATCCCAAAAGCACTAGAACAACTATAGAGAGAGGAGGGTGAGAAAAACCCAAAAATAAAGAAAATGAATTTAGGATGGAACCTAGGTTCTTAAATTACATGTCTGATATATCATATGCCTTGTCCAAATTATATCTAAAAAATGCTAACTGGACTTACATGTAGAAGAGCATTTGCAATCATAGGCTTCAATACATTAAGCTCAAAATGGAAATTTCATCCACCCATTGTAGTGACCACATGGTTTCTCACTACTAGGTTCTCCAATTAATGTCTATCATCGAAGTAAACTAGAATAAGACAGTAAACCTTACCTGAGTGCAAACCATAGTAAAGGCCTCACATTGATTAGGGTTCACTTTCCCCTCAAATAGAGTGCTCAAACAAAATAAGATTTATCAGGTAAAGAAATAGGACTTCAATCCTGAAGTAGTGTGCAAACTATTGTCTTAATCCAGCTTTACTTAAATTCTTTAGATTCTAAATTCTCTATCCACAATACTATTACAAAGTTTACTCATCTTACATCATCAACTAAAACTATACAGTCTACAAATAATACGATCTTAAATGTTCCTAATAGATTCATTTATAATTTATAACTAATGCAAAAAGATAAGGACTTAGTATTGATTTTTTGATGTCAACAACTTTATTGCGTATTTTTTTTTTTTTAAAAGGACTTTGAAGCCATTATCACTCATCTATTGACTTCATAAAAAGTTAAATATTCATTTAACAACACAAAACATCGTAATCAAACAGCATACTCATACAATTTGATAAGGTTTATAAGAGATCCCATTCTCTTCTACCAATCAAATCACATTAAAAACAGAATCCTAAATTGACATCCTCATTGGATGTTCAAAACACAAAAAAAGAAAACGAAAAAGAAAAAAACAGCCTAATTAGGTATCCAAAACACAAAGCAAAGCACTAATTCATAACAATTAGGATTGGAGTGATAATGAGGTTAGATCTGTGAAAGTATGGTTGGTTGGGGAAATTGATAAGTGGATTATTAGTCTAGCCGAATTGATAATCCCCCCATGCAACCAGATTAACAAAGTTGGAGTAGACATGAGATTGAAAAAATAGTGAGGACATTAAATGCTATTTTATTATTTTTATTTTTGTTTTTTCACTAAAGTGCAACTTGTTATTTGTAAAATAAAAATATATTCGTTTTAGAATTTTTTTAATACATTTTTTTTTATATAAAAATAATTTAACAATCTCATCACTAATCATCACTCGCACTATCATTAAAACAAACACCCTTTTACTTAATCCCCTCACTAACAATCTCCATATTAACAATTTTTTCACTAACAATTTCATCAAACCTAATCCGCCAAATAAACGTAGCCTTAGAATCAACTCATTACTAAAATTGCTTGATTATTGTATACATATAAGTTGTTTGATAAAATACTTATACGAGCCGTCCTTTTGGAGCTAGAATTATTGGCCGTGTGGTGATTTAAAATTAGGTGGAATAGCAATCAGATTGCTTGTTTTTATTTTTCAAAAAACACTTTTCAAAAAATTTTACATTTTTATTTTTCGTGTTTTTTTGTTTTTACTGAATTTTTTTAATATTTTAAGCAATTTTTTTTATTTTTTAGACACACTAACATAAATACAGCTAAAAAGTTAAAAAATTGTAAAAAAAATCTTTTAAAAATTCACTAAATACCAAAAATATAAAAAAATACAAGAATTCAGTACATTTTTTATATTTTTATGTATTTATTAATTTTTTAAAATATTTTTTCACAATTTTTTTATTTTTTAGATACATCTAACTAAGATGCATCTAAAAAAGAAAAAAAAATGTTTAAAATTTAAAAAATATTCACTAAAAATAAAAGAATACGAAAACCCAAAAACTCAATTTTCAAAAAATTTAATTTAAAAAACTCAAACCAAACACACTGAAACTCTGTACCGAAGTTGTAATTGTTGTCCATTCATACTACATCCTTTGTAATTTGCTAAATTTGAATAAATATGGAACTAATTATTAAAGTGCAACATTTTTTTTTTCCCCCTTCCAAATACAATCTAAGAGACTAATTAGCACAAAAGTACTAAAAATTAATGGTGAAATTTTTAGGAAATGTAGTCATGCACTCCCCTTTTATCTTGAGAAAAATTATGGTGTGTTTGGTTTGTATTTATAGAGTAATTTTTGAGATAAAAAGTATAAAAAGTTGTTTGATTTGTCTTTTTTTAAAAATAATTTTAAAAAATTATTTTAGAAAGAGAATTTTAAAAAAAGTGATTGATTTGAGATAAATTTGTGCGGTCTTAATTACAAACAATTGTGTAGCTACAAAGGAGAGAATTAAGAATAGTTCCAGTTATGAATTATTGTAATTATGTCATGAATATTAAAAAGTTATAAATCATTATAGTTTTATTATGAAATAGAAAATGTTAAGAGGGTGAAATGTTATTATCCTATTTTTTATTGTAACCTTTTACCAACGTGGCGGCATGACATCCTGCAGGCGGGAAAATGCTAACCCTAAACATTTTCCCAGAGACTTTCCCGCTAAAACTAGAAAGTGATCGCCTCGCCACCATTTTTTTTAATTTTCGAACGTCTCTGGCAAACCCTCGACGCAACGAACTTCATCCTTCACTTGTCCTTGCGAATTCAAACACGTCGTAAGCATCATTCTTCAATTCTTCGATAATCCACTCTGTTTATATATATATATATGTACGTGTATGTATTTTGTTGTTTGTTTGCCGAGAAAGTGAAATTGAAGTACTGAAGACTGTCTTTTTGATTTGGGGAAAAAGTTAGAACTCAAAAATGCCTAGAGAAGAATCTGAGAATGGTAGAGATGACATGTTAATTGACGGATGTGAGCCTGAACAGCCTCGAGGAAACTCTGTTCCGGATGGGTTCAATACGAATTACCTCAAAGTTTACTATGGTAATTGCTTCTCCATTTCGATTATGAACTGTTTGGTCAATTTGGGTTTTAATATATCAGCAGATTTATCCTGATTGAGACTTAATTAGCTTGCCATTGATTGTTAATTAAATTTATTTGATGAAATAAAGAATTGGGTAATACTGAAACTGGTTTACTGAATAACTTTATAATTGTGTTGATCTCTTGGTTGGCTATTTCATGAGATGTTTGGTTTGGGATCATATATTTGGTAGTAGATGTGAAGTTTTTGTAGATCTATCAAATGTAAAATTATGCCTAATGTTGGGGTTTACGGATCCTGATAGTACTGAACATGGGGCCCTGGGGTTCGGGGGGACCTGCCCCGAGGGTAGGGGGTCTCGATTTTTTCTGAGCTTCCGGATGGTAATCCTGAAGTGCGGGTTCGAATCCCGCTCGTGAGCACATGCAAAAAAGTTGTGAACTGAGAATTAAATAAAAAAAAAAGAGTAAGCGTCTAGTTTTCCAGCTCCAAAATATAGGTCTGATTAGAAAATGAGTACTAAGGGTAGCTTGGTAATTGTTGATGTAACCCTAGCGCTATATAAGGTGTTGCTTTTTGTAGTAGTTGATTGTACTCTCGTGTCATTCTCTTTGATATAGTGAAACTGGCCTAAGCTGTGGACATAGGCAATCTTGCCGAACAACGTAAATCTGTGTCATTTCTTGTGTGAGATTTTTCATTTTCTTCTTGCTATTGTTTGTGTGTTTGGTTATTTCTTAACACCTAATTCTATTTGTGTGAGTCTATGATTAATATACTGATGATTACTCACGACGGTCTTGATGTTAAATGTTTGCTAATTTATTGTCATCTCTTGTAAAAGGTTTAATTTTTATTTATGGCAGGGAAGCTTTTTCCACATCATGATATATTTAAGTGGATGTCTTATGGAAATGGTAATCCAAATTCCCTGTTCAGCCCCTTCTCTCTCTCCCTCCCTCTCTTTTACTTATGTTTTGTTGATATTATTATGTTTTATAACCATATGTCTATAGATGGAAAGCATCCTGCATGTGACCGGTCATACTTTGGACGGAGAGAGTTCTCTTTCACATTGGATAATGACATATATCTGCGATTTCAGTCTTTCAACAGTGCATCTGAACTGGAAAATTCCATCAACGAGAAGTGTCCAGTTAAAATAGATATTGGGCCCGTATACAATGTGGATGTAAGATTTGTATACTTCATTTTTGCACCAGCTAAAGCTTAATTCAGTTTTTCAGCTGATTTTAATGCTGTTTATAAGGTTCCTAGGTTTAGTGTAGATGATCAATAACTTTAAATGAATCCCTTTGCTACTTCACATACTTCATTTTAATCTTTTAAGTGATTCCATATTGCATGCTGTCACTAGTGTGTGTTGCAATTTATAATACGAGATTCTTATTTTTCCTGTTCCTTAATTTAGAGTTCTTCACCGTTCTTGCTAAAACTTTTTGTTCATTGCTTGTTTTTGTGTTCCACAGCCTGCAAAGAGGCATGCCTATGCACAAGCTGGTGATAATGGTTTTGCTCCAGTGGAGAGGGAACTTATTTTTGATGTAGTAAGTTAACCAGTTTCTGAAAAGTTGCAACCTAATTAATTGTGAATATAACATCTCGGTCTGTGACAAGCTTATGGTACATTTTCCACCCAGGATATAACAGATTATGATGATGTTAGATATTGCTGCTCAGGCGCTGATGTTTGCTTGGATTGCTGGCCACTAATGACGGTTGCTGTTAAAGTGATTGATACTACTCTCAGAGGTTGGATTATTGTGCATTTTTATTCCATATTTTCTTACAAAGGTTTAGCAGGGTTGCATGTCTGTAAGATCTAAATACCACTACAAAAACACTGTAACAGTCATGATAAGTGACAAAGCACTTGTGACTTTTATGTTACACAGATAAATTACTTTAAAGTAGCTGTCATTTGAAACAGAAATCATCAATGGAAGCCGTTAACTTGTTATCTTACGCTGCTAATGGTGTTACTTTCTGCTAGATGAATATTTAGTTCTCTCTTTTCTGTATAGGATAACACAAGTACAGTGAACTGTTTTTAAGAAGTACATAGTATATATGCTTTGTATTTCTCTTTTACACCTCCATGGCTCATATATCGTACTGCATTTGGTGTTGGAATTGATCTGATGCTATTTGAGTTTACATTCTTTTACACAGGTTTTATTGTATTTTTACTTGTGAGAAACTTCTACATGGAGAAAACATGTTCCTTACTACATTCCTCCTGATGATCAATATTTGACATTTTTGTCTTTTTAATTGATTAAATCATATTACCATAAATATATCTTGTGCTGCTAACTTTTTCTTTTGGAAAACTGTTGTAGATTGGGAATTGTAGTTTTAGCTTTTTTATATTCATGTGTATGTACCTGTTAGTTATTTATTATGAGCTCAATTGTTTGCTAAGATTACAATTCTCACTAATATCTAATGCAGATGACTTTGGCTTCAATCACGTTCTGTGGGTGTACAGTGGCCGACGTGGTGTCCATTGCTGGGTTTGTGATGAGAAGGCCAGAAGGTAAATGCCTCAAATAGTTTGGAAAGTGAAAGTTCCATTCATTTTGTTGCTATTTGTGTTATCATTTTTCAAGGTTTAAAATCTACTGCCGTAATCCCCAGGTTGAATAATGAGCAGAGGGCGGCTATTGCCGATTATTTCCGTGTATATAAGGTTGCTTGCTACTGTTTCTGAATTCAATAAGGTTTTCAGCAAATTGTCTGTAGCATGAGGTTTAATGGAAATATATCTTTGACACTTTTGTTCAGGGCAATGAGAATAGTCATAAAAAGGTTTCTCTGACAGGTCATGCACTTCATCCTTTCCTTGCGTAAGTGGTTAATTTATATCATTGATCTTCTCTCTCTGTATTTGTCTATTATTATATTCACCAAATTTCATTCAATCATTGCAGAAGATCATACACTGAGGTTTTGAAAGGTTTCTTTGAGGAGAAATTGCTATCTAGTCAAAATTTGTTTTCAAATGAGGAGAGATTTGAAAAGATCCTGGAGATGATTCCTGATGAATGTACACGAATTTGATTTGTATCAATTTTTGTCTCTGTTCTTTTTCTCAAATAATACACAGTTCTGTCATTTCCTGCAAACATTGTATGCATAATTAGAAGTAATCTTTGCAGCTATTACTTCAGAACTTCGGGGAAAGTGGCAGGAAAGCAGGCGTTCCTCCATTTCAAAAGAAGACATTAATGTTGTTCGATGGGGGCAACTAAAACAGATGCTGCAATCTGGGAAACAGAAGGTGCAAAACTACTTTCATAATATAAACATCTTATCTTAAAAATGGCTGACTTTGTGGTGGACTGGTGTTATTTTAAATTGATCGGCCTAGACTAGACTAGACCAATGCTGATCCATTTTGTTGCTTGTGTATCTCTTTCTATGACATTGATCGGCCGATTCGGCCTATACATTAATGTTTTGTGCCTTTTCTAAGCAAGACTTATATATAGATTTTGCATTCCATCTCTCAAGTTTCAAGAGTTAGTTTGACAATGTATGTGTGCTGGGATGAGCATTATTGTCAAAGTTACAAACAGAACAATTTTGTTTGGCACCTTATCCTGTGCTTGTTGTAATTTATAAGAAAATTTTTGTTTCATCCATTTTCATATTCAGGGTCAGGGGCTTCGCCGGTGTGTTGAAGAGATTGTGTTCTCTTATGCTTATCCTAGACTTGATATGGAGGTTTGTAGAACATTTCCATCTTCCTCATGCTCTTTATGGTCATCCACTGTGTGTTAGTTTAGTAAGAAGTGTGTACTCCATAGGAGTTTAATTCTATTCTTTATACATCTATAGTGTGTACTTTACATGGAACTTATTTGGATATATTTCAGGTTTCAAAACATATGAACCATTTGTTGAAGGCACCATTCTGCATACACCCCAAAACAGGTTGGTATCTATTACTTGCGATAGGAATAGCCAGGAAATTGGAAGGTATTCCCTTGCTATTTGATATAATGCTTGACAATAGCAAAAAACACTGAAAGTTGTTTAAAGATGAGAATTTTAGTATTATTTTCTATTTTTCTTGTTTGGGAACAGGTTATTTTAATAACTTTTTGACATTTTCGTTAAAATATGAGGTAAAAAAAATTAGTATGTTTGGAATGACTTTTTAGTTTTTTACGAAAAGATGTACAAAAAGTAGAGAGAAAAATGAATCTTTGACTTTTTGGTATAGTTTATAGGCTTTTTGATTTTTTTAGTAATTTTTTAACTTTTTGATTAAAACCCTCGCATAGTATACTTTTTAGCAATTGAGGGGTTCGTAGTATTAGCATTACATATCTTCGTTGCCATTAATTTCCTTATCTTTTTTCCAGGTCGTGTATGTATTCCTATAGATCCAAATCATTGTGAAGAATTTGATCCTACAACTGTACCAACCGTTTCCAAGGTATGCATGTACCAAATATGATACGCCAATCAAATGCTTACAACACAAGATTCAGTAGTTTTCTACTCACCTCACCTCACCTCACCTCCAAGTGAAAAGATGTTGATAAGGGATGAATACATCCTGGTTTGGTTTTAATTCAGTTTTTTATTTTATTTTATTTTTTTTATACCCATTAATTCCTGCTTGATTTTGTCAAATATGCAGCTTTTGGGCGAGCTTAACATGGGAGGTGTGAAGGCAAATGGTGGTGACGGTACTTCAACTTAAATTCAGATATAATCAGTTTTTTATACCCATTAACAGAAGCAATAATATTAATATATTTTTTGGTTTAATGATGAACAGAATGGGATAAAACGTCTCTTGGAAAATCAGTCAGATATTTCAGGTCATCTTTTTTGCAGCCTCTGCTAAAGTCATGCAAGGTATGTCTCATTTATTTATATTCCAAACTATATTTCATGTTTAATAATTTTTTTCTCAAATTTTATCTTCTTTTTTTTTACTTTAAACAAAGAGTGGTTTAAAGGAGAAAGCAACAGCATTGAAACAAGCAATTTACGATATATTGCAGGAGGAGATAGAAAGTTCCTACAGTGCAAAACTTCAGGAGTCAAAAAATTCACTGAGCTGGTAGTCTTTTCTGAGCTTCTAGCTTTCTAGGATTGTGCCGTAAGATGTAAGTGAAAATTATGTAATGTAGTCTTACTCTATTTTTATGTTGTGAAATTGTCTTGAAGAATCCAGTAGAATTAAAAAGAACATTGACAGTCGAGTAAATTATCATGATGTCAAACCATTACAGTTTCCCTCTCTATTTGTTGATCTTGGTCTTTTATTTATTTATTTTTTTTTGTTGATAAATCTAGAACTGACCACTTTTGAGATTGAAAGAAATGATTTGATTAACTGTTTAGCAGAATTGGAATGGATTGAAAGTAACCAAATAGTGTCTGTTGTGTTGAGAGTTGAACATTGCTTTCACTTGTACATTGCTTTCTATCTCCGTCCTAGTCAAACCACTGTACTCTGCCAGTCATGGATTTTATGCTTCTTTAATGGGCTTCATCGGCCCCACCGACCATGGGGTTCATCTATCCAATCATTTTTAATTCAAAAAGGTTAAATTTTGACATTGTTTGTCATAACTTAAAAAAATAAAAAAGCAAAAATGATCCGTTGTTCGAAATTGGCCCGAATATTCAAAACAATGTCATTTTGGTCTTTTTTTTTTCTGTGCGTTCAAATACAGAGGGGAGAGAGAAGAGAAGAGAAGAGGAGAAGGAAGATCGGCGGCGATGGCGGTTGGTGATGTCAGTGATCGGTCGGTGATGGCGGTCCCTTTTTCAGTAGATCTAGATTTGAGGATGAAAGGAATTTTTTTTTTTTTTTGTTGATGAAGATGATGATGTTCAAAATCTAAAGATGAAAGGAAAAAAAAAAAATTGTTGATAAAGATGTTGATGATATTGATCTGGATCTGCAGACCCAGATCTTGTTGATGTTGATAAACAAAAAAAAAAATGTTCAGAAAAAAATTTGTTGATGTTGATCAACAAATTTTTTTTTTTTTTTTGTTGATGTTGATGTTGATGAACCCAACAACGCAACAGACCCAGCTCCTTCTTCTCTATTTCAAAAATTTCATCATCTTCAGAAAAACGCAAAGAAAGGGGGGGAAAAAAAAAGAGACACCAAAACGACGTCGTTTTGGTGTCGAGTCAAATTTGAGCCTCCGAATTTCGAGAACTGATCAAAAAGTTACTATCTTATTTAAGCACGTCATCTTATTTAAGTCACAGCACTTCTCTATTACATCATTTCAAACTCAATTCATATTCAATCTATATTTCATAAAAAGTTAAAAAATATATTTATTTAAATCATCTCAAATCGTCCTTATCTATGCGCACAAAAAAGGTACATTAGAATGTGTTAACTGTGAAGTGGAAAAGGTGCATTAGGCCTCCGTTTGGGAAGTGGGTTGGCTTTTTGACTTTTTTGGCTATTTAAGTCTGGGCTCAAAAGCTTAGGCCTAGTTTGGCTACTGCCAAAAAAGTGCACTTATTTCATCTTTTTATCTTTTTTGGGTCACATCAATCAACATGTGTTAACTGTGAAGTGGAAAAGGTGCATTAGGCCTCCGTTTGGGAAGTGGGTTGGCTTTTTGACTTTTTTGGCTATTTAAGTCTGGGCTCAAAAGCTTAGTTTGGGAAGGACTTTTTGGTTTTTTTGACTTTTTTTATAAAAGAAGAGTAATGATTATGGGTTGGATGTGATGTTTTGTCTGTTATGACTCAAATAACCTATTCTGTCTTTTGTGACTCAAAGAGCAAAAAGAATCTAAAAAAACTCTTCCCAAACGACACCCTAAATCGTGTTAACTGTGAGGTGCTTACGCGTTAGCCAAATATCACAAAATTTTGTAACCGATGTCAATTTTGGATCATAATTATGCATGTGATACACAAAATTGCTATACAAGCCTAGCAATTGCTGCACATCTTGATAGCAGTCAAATCTAATCCTAAATAATAATGTATGATGTAACTTGGCAAGAGGGTTATAGCTTGTTTGGTTGCACCTATTCCATCAAATCAAATTAAAGGATCGTGCGAACAAAGTGAATTCTATGTATTAGCCCTATTTTGTAAGATTTATTTTTAGTTTATTTCAATTTTTAGTTTAATTTAAGTTATTTTGATGTGTTTGGTTCAGCTTAAGAATACAGATTATAACTTTTTGTAAGTCAAAAATCAACTTATTCTTTGAATGGGGGAGAAGAAGCTTAATTTATAAGTCAAAAATCAGTTTAAGCATGCAGTTGAGATATGAGGGGTAAAATGACTAAAATGCCCCTCATAATTTTAAATTATTACAAGTGTACTATGTATATAAACCAAAACACACTCATTTTTTGTCCCTCACACGAGCCAAAGAGGTTATTTCTGGCGAAGGGGATTTTCAGCGACAGGGTGATTTCTGGTTATCTCTCTCTCTCTCTCACCAGAAAGGCAAATCCCTAGCTCGCCATCGATGAACCAGAGCTCGTCATCGATGGCGTGACGATTGAAAGGTAACAAACCAGAGCTTGCAATCGACAACCCTAACCACACCCATCGCAATCGCAGCAGATCTCTCTCTGGCGTCGCGATCTGAAACACTAGCACCCCGTCCTCTGTGGCGATTGATCGCAACAGATTCTTTCTATGCCGTCGCGATCTCAAACCCTAGCGTCCCGTCGCCACTATGCCCACTACCGGGGCTGCCGGAGAAGAAGGGTTGTTAGTGTTTTTTTAATAATAAAAATAATAATAATAATAATAAATTTTATATTAATTAATACTAAAAATTGTTTTTTTTATTAAGCTATTAATGAAATAAATTTTATATTAATTTACACTAATTAATAATTTTAGTATTAATTGATACTAATTAAGCCATTAATTGATAATAAATTAAATTATCAAATATTAATAAATTAGTATATTTTGTAACAATTTTGTAATAATTTTATAAACTAAAATGAATATAATTTGAAACTAATTAAACCATTACATTTTAGTATTAATTTAGACTAATTAAGCCATTAAATTTTTAGTATTATTAAAAGAAACAAGGAAATGTATCAATTTTTAAGAAAAAAAAATTATTGAGAAAAAAAATTAAGCCATTAATAATAAAAGAAAAAAAAATGTATCAATTTTTAATTGAAAAAAAATTACATTTTTATATCATTGAGACTAAATTAAGAAAAGAAAAAATAATAATAAGTATTAATATTAATATTGATTGATACTAATTATTAATATTAATTAAGAAAAGAAAGAAACAAGAAAAAAAAAGAAGGAAATGTATCAATTAAGAAAAGAAAAAATAAATAAAAGAAACAAGGAAAAAAATATATTAATATTAATTGATATTAATTAATAATTTTAGTATTAATTGAGACTAATTAAGTCATTACATTTTTATCAAATGTATCAATTTTTATATAAATTGATACTAATTAATACTAATTATGTTAATTGAAAAAAAAATGATAAAATTATCATTTTTATATCATATAAGGGCAAAAGAGACAATTACATAAAAAAAATATTTTACAGCTTATCTACCAAACACTACTTCATTGCTTAAATCTATAATTTCACAGCTGTATCAAACAGATTAATAACTTATGTTCCCAAATATAAGATATAATATGTTAAGTTATAATTTATAATTACTTTTTCACAACTCTACTAAACGGATCATTCCGCCATTCATGGGCGATGATCTAAAGGGGCATCATAGACTTTTCAAAGACATGAGAGAGAGAGAGAGAGAGAGAGAGAACTCCCCACACAGCCCTGTTTTCTTAAATTTTCTACTTAATTTTATATTTTCTTAGAGCCTATCCAAAATGACGCCACAGTTTTATAGTGATAATTATGACAGTTCTGAGAAACGAGAATTGTTTGGCCGTTAAACAAGAGAGAAACCATGGTTAACACATGGAAGAGTTTCCAAATAGATGCATCTTTAAATAACTGAAATCCTTAGTTAAGACTAAAAGGGAGTTATTAGAAGGTTGTCTAATTTAAATTGTGTAATTTAAGTCTAATTAGAGTTGTGCAAAAGACCTATCCAGATTCGAATTATAACTCGATATTGTCTACTCAAATCCGACCCGAACTAAACTCGAATTGTAAATGAATTTCAATTTTTTTTTGCAGCTATATTATTAAATTATTAAAATTTGACTCTATTTATATTTTTTTTAATTTAGAAAATCAGTAATATCATCAAAACAAATAATTTATATAATGTAAGAAATATGTCGTTATAGTAGTCTTTACAATTTATATGTGAAAATAAGCAATTAAAAAAAAATTATGTTATTTGTATATTTATACTATAAATAGGGCACTTGTTCATATATCTTTTTTCACTTACTTATATTCTATTTAGTTCATATTATTTTCTTATATTCCAATAAGTCTTATGAGTGACATAGTTACCAAAATACCCTTAATGATATTCACATTTACAGTGTGAATGTTCCGTGATGTGAATGTTCACACCGTCAATGTGAATGTTCATACCGTCAATGTTAATGTTCATATCGTCAATGTGATTGTTCACACTATCAATGTAAATGTTAACATGTCAATATGAATATTCATATTGTAATATACGAATGTTCATATCACCAAATTACTAATCGTTCAAAAAATATATGTAAGGGTAAAAATGTCCATAAAATACCTTAAATATGAAAATTAAGATTTGATAGATCAAATGTCCAAATAATAGGACTTATTAGAATATAAAAATATCTTATGGACTAATTGGGATACAAACACATGAAAAATGATTTTTTAAATAAATTTCTCATATTAAATATGATTTAATAATCTAAATAACTTTAAGATCATGTAATAGCTAATAATTTATATGTATATTTAATATTTTTATATATTTATATATGTATAATTCAAGTTTCGGATTGTTCTGGTTGTTTGACATCTTTGTGCAAGTCCGTCCAAATTTAATTTGGACTTCTGAATTTTTATCCAAGCCCATACCGAATTTAAAAATATCTTATTCAAATCCTAAAAAAATTCAATCTGTGTTCAAATTGCTCAGATTGAACCCACTCAAATTACACCCATGATTAAGACATGGAACAATTTCTAGGCTAGGTTTAGGAAGATGATTTTTGGTTATTTTAGCCACAAAAGACAAAATAAATTATTTTAGTCACAACAGACAAAATATCACATCTAATTCATAATCATTACACTCTTTTCTCACAAAAAAAAAATCATAAAATCATAAAATCTTTTCCAAACCAATCTTTTTAATCTAAACTAAAAAATTAAAAAATCAACCCACCCCCTCAAACAAAGCACAATATGTACACTATTTTTATCACAACAACTAATCCCAAGATAAGTCATCATGACTTATACAACCGAACATAGCCACTACTACGTACTCAAATTTCACATAAACTGCATAAAACAAGAACAACAAAGCATACCCAAAATTACCATTTACAATAACCAGAGCCTAACATGATGCTACTGATAACTTAAGAACTTATCATAGTTTTTGGATTAAGAATTTGGATAGAGCTTTGTAGAAAAAGAGAGGGAAAAAAAGTTAAATATTTCCCACAAATCTCTGCTTAAATATTTAATCCAAACACAGTCTACGAAATAGAATGCTATGCTAAAGAGCGAGAAGTTCCCAAATCAACTCCGGATCAAAAGACGGCATACGCTCGAGCGAACACTGTTCGAACTCTGATTCCCGAGCCACCGCTACCGGACTCTCGCCGGAAACAGAGGCCAGCGAATTCTCCCCCTTCCAAACCCCATCTTCCAAAATGGTCGGCGATACCACCATTTCATTACTCCAACTCTGACTACCAACCACTGGAGACGACAACGATGACAACGGAGAAGAATCAATCTTCATAACTTTCTCACAAACCCCAATTTTCTTCTCACTCTTCTTAGTCTTCTCTCTCCTCACTTTTTGGCAAATTGCTTGAATCTTGGCATCAACTGCACTCTTCAGAGCATTCAGTCTTGAACAATCTCCGAATCCCAACTTCGTCACATCGTGAAGATTCGGGAAATTCAAGCGCGCGTATTCACCGCGCAGCTTATACGCTGCGCGGTCATACGCGTAGGCTGCAGCCTCGGCAGTGTCGTAAGTTCCCAACCAAACTCTTACTCTGTTCCGAGGAAGTCTAATCTCAGCTACCCATTTGCCCCAATGTCTCTGTCTCACTCCTCTGTACAGCTTTTGCTTCCCTGGACTCGTGTTTTTGGCTCTATGTACGTAGTTTTGAATTGGGTTTGTGAGAGAAAGTTGTGAAATTGAGAAATTTTTTCTGTTTTCTTCAGAGAATTTTTTAAGTAAATCTCTTTGTTGAAGATAAACAGAGGAGCCTAAGGGCTCAAGAACAGGGTTGGTGATTGGAGTTGATTGGGGAGAGTAAGAGAAGATTGAATCAATGGTGTTGGTGTTGCCACCTGTTAATATCAGCTCTGATAATGAAGATCGAATACCGGCATCGCTGGAGAATGTGAACGGGACGTTGTGTTCTTGCATCCTGGGAATGTTTCTGGGAAAGTTCTGATTTTCCGGGAAAATAGGAACAGGGGAAGAAAAACAGGGTATTGAAAAATTGGACCCTTTTTCGTTTTGAAAGTTGGAAATTTATGAGTGAATAGGTGGTGAAATTTGCTAAAAGTTCACTGATCTGAAGAAAAATTTGGAACAGAGAAGAATAATTGGAGAGAGATTGAGCTCGAAGATGGGAATTGTTGTTGGGTATGGAGATTAAGACTTGAATTTGAAACACAGAGGTAGTAGGGAGAACACAAAGCAACCATTGAAGAGAGAGAAGATTGAAGAAGCTCTTGGATGCAGAGAGTTGGTTTCAAATTTTTTATGTGTCTGGATTTGGTCCTTTCTTGGTGTATTTATAGGCGTTAAGATCCTCTAGAGTGTATTATCTAGAGTGATCTCCTATAGTGGTCCATCCAATGGTTGGGATTAAGTCTCACCAAAACGACGTCGTTTTGGTGAGCAATTTATTAAAAAAAAAAAAAAAAACAGATTTCAGGGGCTTTGGAAGAGAATGTGAAGGAGTTCCCAGAACTTAGTGAGAATGGTTTGGTTGATGAATTCAGGGGCTTTGGAAGGGAAAAGAGGAAGAAGAACAATGCAACAAAGAGAGATTTGCAGAGAAAGAGTGAGTAGGACTTACTTGGATTTGGGTGGATTGGAGATGTCAGATCTGTAATTAGAAGATGGGGTTTGTTTTGTTGGATGAGTCTGGTTCCTTTATTGATGAACGGAGATGGGCTTGTTGTGAGATTAGGTGTGTGAAGTGGAAAAAGGGTAAAGACTTGGGAGCAAAAGAAGAGAGAGAAAGAGAGGAGAGAGAGGGAGGAAAACATTTCGACCTGTAATAAACCAGGATGCTCACACGCACCTAACAACAGTGCCGCTAAATCACGCTTTTGCAGAGAGCATATTGAACCTGATTTCAAATTCCAGCGATGACCCTCCATAACCAAAGAAAGTAGCAGACCCATGGATGGTTTCATTATAAAATTATCTGAAGAGAACCAAAAAACATGAAACTCATCACAAACCATTTGGTTCGTACTCTCTCCCTCAAACTCGTATAATCTATAAAGACTAGAACCACTCTCACTCACTTTCCTAAACACAGTAAATCACCATTGTTACACCCACGGGGAGTTTTATCTCTCTAGATTCTAGAGAGAGAAGCTCCTAGTAGTGAAGCCTTGAATGGGGGAATTTTGAAATCTGAATTTTATTTTATTTTTTGAATTTACTCACCAAAACGACGTAGTTTTGGTGAGACTTAATCTCAGCCATTGGATGGACCACTCTAGGAGATCACTCTAGAGAATACACTCTAGAGGATCTTAACGATATTTATAGTGCAGAGGAAAGGATTTTCCATGGATCCATAAGACTTTCTCTGTGTTCAAAAGTTTGTTTAATTTCATCATAATGTAATTAAGAAAAAGTATTGTGAAAATTATCAATAAAATGTGAAGATTAACGGATAATATAATTTTAAAAATAGCCCATTAGTTATTTTTTAGACGAATAAGATCTGATCAAGTAGTTTTTAATGTCTGATCGCCCTAATTTTTAATGGGAAAAAGACAGGACCCCTACTGGGGTAGACCCCAGCACTCCCAATACCCCCAATGGGTGCTGATTGGTCAATGATTTTTTTTTTTTATCAAATCACCAACCCCTACATGTGTGTGTGTGGTGGGGGGAGGGGAGGGAAGAGTTGGGGTCTCAATCAAAGTCTTTTTTAATGTGCATGATCTTTTTAAAAAGTTTTACAAAATAAATAATTTAAATTATCGAAATGAGTCCAAAATAAATCCACATGTTAAAATGTCCAACTAGAAAGGATTCATTTTGAATTTGTAAAATTTTTATAAAAGGGAAAAAGGAAATAGATTACCCTGTCTCTTTTTTATAAAAGGGATTTGATGATGAACTTGTCACTGTCTAATTTATCTTTCAAAAGGATAAGAATTATATAGGTACTTTCAAAATCCCCTAATATTTTAAAACTTGTTTCTTTTATTATACTACCCTCATATTTATTAGTTCTTCTATTAAGCCATCATCACAGTATATTTCAAAGTAAAATTTTACTTTAAATCATAGTAGAGTAAAATTTTACTCTGATTCAGAGTAAAATTTTACTCTGATTTGAAGTAAAACTTTACTCTGAAAGTACAATTTTACTCTGAATCAAAGTAAAGTTTACTATGATTCAAAGTAAAATTTTATATCGTTAAACAAATCAACATGTTTTTAACCAAAGTAAAATTTTACTGTTACAACAAATAAAATACATACTAAATGAATGAACCAGAGTCCAATTTTACTCTTAGATCTATTAACAAATAAAATAAAATAAAAAGGCAATTGAAAACAATAAGACGACATCTACAACTCAGATTGTTTTCTGGCCTTTGAGAGAGAGAGGTGAGGAAAAATATAATAGAAAATAGAGAGATCTACGAAAGAGGCAGATAAGGAGCTACAATTGGCTTTTCTTATCTCTATATTTCTTATCAACTTCATGAGAGAGTTCCAAACCCTAACCCTTCAATGATCGTCAATGTCTGTAGTCTATTGAAGCTTACAATGACGCTATTAACGTCGTTGGTAGTTGCGAACGACAGCAGGAAGAGAGATGGAGGGGAGAAAGAGAAAGAGAGAACAATCACGATTTTCGAAGGTGGCGGTGGTGTGGTAGAGAAGCTAAGAAGAGTAGCACCGCGGCAACAGATTAAGAGAGATCGACAGGTGGCGGCAATGAATGGAGGGAGTGAGACCAACGGACGGCGGTTACAGTGGGGAGAGACCGACAGGTGGAGGCGAACGACGAAGGCGATGGTGGAGCCATACAAGAAAAAACACTTTTGGCGACCACTTATTTTTTTTGGTCGCAAATAGCTCACTTTCTGCGACTAAAATTTAACTTTTGGTGACCACAATTTTTTGGTCGCGGAAAATCACCTTTTGACGACCAAAAAAAAAAGTTAGTCGCGGAAAGTATACTATTGGCGATCAAAGGCTTTTTTGGTCGCGGAAGATCGCTTTTTTGGTAGCGGAAGATCACTTTTTGGCGACCAAAAAAAAAGTTGATCACGGAAAGTATACCCTTTGGCAACCAAAAAAAAAAGTTGTTCGCGGAAAGTATACTATAGGCGACCAAAGGCTTTTTTGGTCGCGGAAGATTACCCTTTGGCGACTAAAAAAAAAAGTTGGTCACGGAAAGTATGCTATTGGCGACCAAAGGCTTTTTTGGTCGCGGAAGATCACCTTTTGGCGACCAAAAAAAAAAGTTGGTCGCGAAAAGTATACTATTGGCGACCAGAGGCTTTTTTTGTCGCGGAAGATTACCCTTTGGCAACCAAAAAAAAAAAGTTGGTCGCGGAAAGTTATGGCGGGATAAATTTTTAAAAAAATGATACTACAGTAATTACATGCTATTTTTCTATTTAGACATTAAAAGTTTTATAAAATAATATATAACCCAATTTTTATGGGTTATATATTTTTTTTGCCAAATATGAACAAGAAGTATGTTATTGGCAGAGTGGCAGAGTGGATTGGGTGCATGGTGACTCCTGCATGGTGACTCCTTGGTCAAGCTTTCAAGTCCTAGGGAGCACAAAAGAATTATTTTTTTTGGGTCAAGGCGCTGACTTTTGGCGACCAACTTATCTTTGGTCGCTAAAAGTTTACTTTTGGCTAATATGAATTGGACTTTCCGCGACCAAAAAAGTTGGTCGCGAATGGTCACTTTTAGCGACCAAAGGCTTTTTTGGTCGCAGAAAACTATCTGTGACGAGGCTTTAGCGACCAACTCGCGACCAACATATTTTGGTCGCGAAAAGGTTTTAGCGACCAAATATGGTACTTTTCGCGACCAAAATGTTGGTCACGGAAAGTGTTTTTTCTTGTAGTGAGATTTAGTTAAGAGTATAATAGTCTGATAAAATATATAAATAATAAATTTTGTCATTTATACAAGATTTTATAATTATGAGGGGTTTTTGAAAGTATAATTTGTTTTTTAATCATTTTAACAATAAAAAGAAGGTAAGAGGGGTTTATAGCCAAATTTCCCTTGAAATAGTCTCTCCCTGCACTTGCAAATTATGCATTACAAATAATTACCACATTACATGTATTGTTTCCTCAAATATAATAATAATTCTTTCACTTTAAACTACTTGTGAGGAAGTATTTTGATAATAACGCTCTGTGATCAAGGTGCCTTCGAGATGTCGACTGAAGTGTCACATGAGCAGGTCATATTTGCCGAGATGATTGCGGCGTTGCCGAGGTTCAGTGCGGTAATGCCGAGATCTGTGATATCTAGATAGAGGGCAAAAGTCCTAAATAAGAGAAGGCTTTTAGTCTGGATAATGATAAGACTCTTGAAGAGTTTATCCCCATCTAATTGAGAGTTCGATATGAGCATTGTGCTTGAGTCCTATAAAGTGAGACTTCTAGAGGACTAAGACACTATTGGCTATAAAAGTAGAACACCATCGTAGGTTTAAGGTACACTTTAAGTTGTGCATTAAGTACTTGTGCGATGTCTTTGAAAGATTATTTGATTAACTTGATTATCGGAGTGCCCTCGGGTGGACGAACCACCGTGATATTCTCATTCTTGTTGGCAGGTTGTTGGCTTAATATTTTTTGCCACGTGCTTTCCGATTAAGTTCTCTGCTTAGTTGTGTGGTTAGAAATCAACACCCATACTACTCTTAACTTTTTCTTCCTTCCACAAATTCATAATTTAAAAACAGTCTTAAAGGAATAACAAAAAAAATCACTAATTAGAATTAATTCGATTAATCATAACTCTTATATGTCTTTAGGAAATGAAGGGTTTGATTCTTGCAACAGCTAAAACTACTCTTCTCCAACTACGTCGTCCTCCAATTAGTAAATCAAAATCAAGGACATGTTAGTTTTATATGAAAAATAGAAGGATTCACCTAATAATCTTAGCACAAAGGAGGGGATGACAAGCCATATGACATGAAGCTAAATTTCAAAAGCTCAACCTAACTGGACACACTGCTCATGAATGACTACCACCTAAACCTAACCTACCCCTCTTCTAGCTACTGTGGAATTCATTGATAATGTGGAAAAACAAAACAAAACAAAATAAAACTACGAAGGGTCCAAAGTTTGATAATGTGGCAAAAAAAAAATAAAACAAAACAAAACTGTGAAGGGTCCAAAGTTTCAACACCCTTTTCTCACTCACACCCATGTGTTAACAATGGAATTTTGATTCTGCTACGACACGTAAATTAAACAAGAAAGAAACATAGAACATTGTAAGAATGGAGATAATTTTTGGTAAGTCTTAATTTCAAAAATTTTATCCATTCCTCCACATATATTTTGTGTTTAATCCTGTAACTAATTTATATATTTTTA